TATATATATATATATATAGTATTAAAGACATTTTTTTATGTTTAACGTTGTTATTTTTTATGGAATACAAAAGTATTTAAGCAAATGCTCTGTTTAAGATAAACAGGCCTGATTTACCGGCCTGAAATCCGAGAAATTTTCTTACAGAAAATATTCGTTCTATATTCAGGCCGGTAAATGTTATTTAATACTGTTTATCTTAAACAGAGCATTTGCTTAAATACTTGTATCTATAAAATAACAACGTTAAATATAAAAAAATGTCTTTAATAAAATAAATTGTCGGACCTTGTCCATTTTCAATATATATATATATATATATATATATATATATATATATATATATAAAAAGAAAGAACAGTAAGATATATAATCCGGTGTTCTTATCAATATTTTTATTTTTACAAAATAGTGCTCAATGCAAATTTACAGAGCATTAATATTATTAATTAACTGGTTTATAATATTTTTTCGCTACACAGTAATAACCATGTTTCAAAAATGGAAGCTATACAACAAAAGCTAATAAAAACGAACACGCTACCATCTATTGTCTGAATGCCTTATATATATTTCCAAGGATCTCTGTGTCCTTGGAAACAGTGAATTATGAATTTTTCTGTGCCTTTAAAACTCAGTAAATTTAAAAAATAAGTTACTCCAAAATTCACTTGAGGATGAAATGGAACTAATGTTTTTAATTTAATTACAAAATTAAATTTGAAGCCTTTAGCTTCTATTTTTGAAACGAGAAGGGGTTATGTAGTCTGAGCAGCGTACAGCCACTATATACAATCACCCAGGTCTGCGTCCAGGAAAGGACACTCCAGTTTCACCATCAAAGCGCTGACTTTTGACTAAACCGGAAGCTGCTTTAATAGATGGCTATTTCTATCTACATATAATTGCATGTATGCAAAAGGGAAAGAGTTGTATATTTGGGCAACAAACCCTCTTTAATACATGCTTTATTACAGAAGACATACAAGTTACTTTTTTTTTATCTATTTTATATATTTTTCTTGTGTGTGTCTTTTCTTTTCTGAACTTAATGAGTGTATAACTTTCCCAAATGTTTGTTGATTCTAAGCGCTTTCGGCTAATCTATTAGCCATTCTCAAATACTTTAGCTACCTAGCTAAAATAAAAGGATGGTGTAATGGATTGTCCCGGTTGTCGTTTTTTTACGGTAGATTGGTCGCCAGCCAAGGCTATAGGACCCTTTCTCAATGGTATTTGCGCGTAAGTGAATGTAACGAACCCGACTGGAATTCGAACTCAGCTCTCGGATTTCTTATTCTGTGCGGTTATCCATTAAAAATGGGGAAAATCTTTTAATAAGTGTGAAATTTTGTAGATGAAAATTATGGTTAAATTTATTTCTATATATAACTAATGCGTTTGATACATTATTGTGTGTAAGATCCCTTTTGTGTTCTGATAATATACTTTTATATATACTGGCTTTATATATATAGTTAGTTATATAAATTGTTATCGTGAGTTTAATCGTATTTTGCCGTTATGTTATTTGTGGTTGTGTCGATCTAAAAGCACGTCAGAATGTACCGGTTTCAATTCTGCCGAAGGCTACAATTTCTTTAAAACAAAAACCAGGCCAGTAGACACATGACACAGTGGATAAAGGCGTTTGTTAGATCCAGTGACAGAACCCAAAGAGTTGTGAGTTCAATACCCGGTTAAGGCAGTGGAGAACTTTCAGGGGGAAATTAACAGGAGATAGCTGACAACTGACATCCATTAAACATGGCACGTGGAACTAGAACAGTCTACCCTAGTGAGCGAAATAAAGGGTTCAATTCGACATTACAAACACCTGAAGAAGGCCGGAGCGGACAACAACGGACGGAAACTGAATAATTTAGTGTACATAATACCTCATCTAAATATGGCGACAAAGATGAGGACAATAGTCTGAATAATAAAAATAGTGTACATAATACCTCATCTCAGAGATATAGACAGATTCTGAAAGGCTGAAACGTTGTAATAAATATGGCGACAAAGATGAGGAATAATGTAAATAATGTAGACGACAATATACTATTAAAAAAAATAGCGACGTCTGCTTGAACACGAGTATCCAGTAAATATATAGCAATATATAAATAATGTCGGATCATATATATATATATATATATATATATATATATATATATATATATAAAGAAAGAAAGAAAGACATATGCATAATATCTTACATTAATTGCACAAATCCAATTTCTATATGAAGCAATTTTCAAAACTGGAATGATTATATTTATTTTATTATTAAGATATGAAACTCGGAGTTGCGCAATTAATATATTATGTGCATTTCTTAATATATATATATATATATATATATATATATATATATATATATATATATATATATTCAATAGCTCTCTTACTTAACATTGAGCAGTGTTTTTTCTTACACTATAGAGTATTGATACGTATTTGTATATGATCGCTTGCTCGTATACCTACATATATTCAGCCATTTGGTTATATATATATATATATATATATATATATATATATATATATATATATATATATATATATGTATATATATATATATATATTACTGAAAAACTGTTTGTCTGATAATCGCAAAAGCGTGAAACCTAAGGTCACAAACTCATATTCATACAACTGAATATGTTAGCTCTATCGCTGATATTGAGCATTTCCACTGCACGTATATATATATATATATATATATATATATATATATATATATATATGAAAAATTTCTCAGATTTAACCTGTAGAAAAAGACAATATTTATAAATGTAAAAGACAATAGGAAAACTGTCATAGTTGCCGACGCGTTTGGTCCAATGTGGACTTTTTCAAGGCAAAATCGAAATGAATTTATTAAACAAAGTAACTAATAATAACAAAACAAAATGTCCTTAGCAACTGGAAGAATTTAGAGAAAGCTATTTTTATACTGTTAACTGAAATTACATCAATTACTGTCACGTGTAGAGATATTTTTTTTATTGCTGTGTTAACGGATTCAACCATTTTCTTTTGATTTCTTGATACTGTTTTGTACGTTTGTTTGGGAGAGAAGCAATTCTGTTATGAAAGGTGAAATAGGGAAAAAGCCTAGGCGTAGATTAATATTTGGGTAATAGTCACAAACACTTCCAAAACCATTATGGATATACTCAGATCTTCAAACACTAATAGCAATAATATTTCTGAAGCAGGCATTTATTAAATAAATTGCCAAAACTGTTCCTCCCAATATATTGGAGAAACAAGTAGAAATTTAAAAAAAAAACACATCTATGAGGACAAAAGATACCTCACGAAAAACAACTTAGCTAATGCACTAGTCATGTGTGTGTGTGTGTGTGTGTGTGTGTGTGTGTGTGTCTGTCTGTCTGTCTGTGTGTATACCGAACAGCGAGTACTGGCTGCTCAATCAATTTTGTTTTTAAAAATTTATTATTTTATTTTTTTTATTTTTTTGTCTATCATTTTGGGCAGATTCCGACTTTTGATGGAACCAAGGCACTCAGATGATGTCGTTTATCATTGATGATATTTTGCTTTCTGGGAGAGAACTAGCGAACTAGCCACTCCCACAATAACGAATTCTGTAACGGACCATGCCTAAAAATACACGTAAACCGTGAGATAGCTTATTCCTAAAATTTCGCTTGAAGATGAAACGGGACTAAACACCACAATTCAACTTAATTTTAATAATTATTTGGATGATTTCGGCTCTAGTTTTTTGAAACATGAGAACTCTTATGAAGGAAGGAATCATATTTTAAACAAAAAATATTATTATAATATAAGCTCTACTTCTGTATGGAGCACTGACTTCTTAAAAATAAAAACAAAATACTAAGGAACCCCGGATTATAATCTAACGTGTTCTTTTCTATTTTCTGCATACCTACGCACTATATATATATATATATATATATATATATATATATATATATATATATATATATATATAAATTTATTGGAAAATTATAACATGGATGAAGACGTATTATACTTGGGGAATTACGGTACCATGAAAATATTTATAGAAAATGGCCCAGAGAAGTTATGTTCAAACGGTGGGAAGGTCACTGAAGTCGAGATGCCAGGTCAGGACCCATAATATTGCAGTTTGTTCGAATAAATGCACGCCACAGTTTTTGTTGTGGTCTTGTTAGGGGCTAGAAACAAAGACACCAGGGAAAAATTGAGTTAAACATATATATTAACAGAAACACTAATACAAACATATACAAACGAGAGTGTTACAGCAAGAATGTTCGGTCCGACAGTCAGAGCTGACTGCTGGAAACTTCACTCTCTCAAAAAGCAGTACCTGCTCCTATTTATAGCTGAGAGAGTACATGCGTGTCTGGGTAAATTATCATAATACTTTCTCTCTCTCTCTCTCTCTCTCTCTCTCTCTCTCTCTCTCTCTCTCTCTCTCTCTCTCTCTCTCTATCTCACTCTCTCTGGTGTGGCCTTGTTTGGGCCAGAAATAAAGACACAAAGAGAGTTACAGCAAGAATGTTACAGCAAGAATGTTCGGTCCGACTGTCAGAGCTGACTGCTGGAAACTTCCCTCTCTCAAAAAGGCAGTACCTGCTCCTATTTATAGCTGAGAGAGTCCGTGCGTACGTGGGTAAATTGCTATAACAATTTTTAAATTTGCTTTTGTGGTGGATCAACTTTTAAGCCGGATCGACATTTAAACTGGGATATATTCTTCTTTTATGTGTCGTGTCTCTTCAGAACTTTGGCGTTCATGGTTCTCCACAACGTGTTTACCTTGTAAATCTTAGTAAAGTTTTCTTTTTGCGATCTCTCCTAATCCCAGTTCTTCCAACCATTTATACAAACTCGTTAAGTGCTTTCCTTTGTCCCCCTTGCCTTGAATATGCTCTGGGAGTGTCAAATTTTCCAAACTCTCTTTCCTTATTATGTGCCTAGAAATGTCAGCTCGGTACACCTATATCGCAATGAATGCTGGGCTATCTCTTTCTTTTTCTTTTTCTTTCTTTCTTTCTTTCTTTCTTTCTTTCTTTGTATCTTCGACTCATCATCTATCTATCAGTCCGTTTCTATCTATCTATCTATCTATCTATCTATCTATCTATCTATCTATCCTACACTCAACATCTATCAGTCCGTTTCTCTTTATCAACCCGTTCCTTTCTTTCTTTTCTTCTTTCTTTCTTTTTCTTTCTTTCTTCCCTTTTATTTATTTCTTACTTTCTTTTTCTTTCTTGCTTTCTTTTTTCTTTCTTTTTTTCTTTCTTTCTTTCTTCTTTCTTTCATTATTCCCTTCTTTCTTTCGTCTTACATTCGCTTTTTCTTTCTTTCCCATTTTCTTTTTATCTTTCTTTTGTTCTTTTCGATTTGCCCTTTTTTTACGTCTTTATTTCCTTCATTCTTTTCTTTCCGTTTTTCTTCTTTCTTTCTTTCTTTCTTTCTTTCTTTTATGAATTTCTATAAACCTTTCCTTCCGTCCTTCCTTCCTATCTTCCTTCCTTGCTTGCTTTATTTTTATGTAAGCACTTGTTTTTGTATGTTTGTAAATTCTTTTTTCAATCCTCATATAAATCTTTATGTTTAATCCAAGGCAAAAAGCTCTTAATCCTGTCAAAAGATAATCTTTCGAAAATCGATTTATTTTTTACTAATGATAGCAGTTTTTAAAAAATCGATGATTCCCTGACAGAAGAGTTGTTAGTTGCTTTTTTTTATCTTCAATGGATTTCTCAAAATTAATAGCCCTGTGTCAGGCTAGGCTAAGCCGAGTAAAAATTGATTTAATGGCGATATTCGTTTTGAGGTCAAAGATAAAATCATAGTAATCAAAATCATTTGTCAAATAAAAATATTTTTTCAGTGTTTATTAAACGCTTGTTTGAAATGTAGTTTTTCATTTTTCTCCTTGTCCTTCTTTCTTTCTTTCTTTCCTTCCTTCCTTTCTTCATTATGTTCTAGAACAATCTTTTAAGAATTGTTTCGAAAAAAAGAATATAAAATACTCGTCCTACAGACTTCAGATTTAATTTACTGAGGAAAAAGATGGTCAATGGTGATGAAAAAATGGATTTATTACGAGAATCCAAAAGGAAGGAAATCGTGTCTAGATACAAGGCCGCCTTCACCATGTCAACCTAAAGAGAATCGACTACACGAAAAAGATGGCCAAGGACGATGAAATATGGATTTATTAAGAGAGTAAAAAATGAAGAAAATAGTGTCTTCATTCAGGACAGTCTTCAACATCTCAACCTAAAGAGAATCCACTGAGGAAAAATATGGCCACCTCGATGCAAAATGGATTTATTACGAGCATTCAACACTAAGAAAATCGCGTCTATCTCCAGGAAAGCCTTCAACATCTCAAACTTAAGAGAATCTATTGGTGAATACGATGGTCACTAGCGATGAAATATGGATTTATTAGGAGAATCCGAATGAAAGGAAATCGTGTCTGGATCCAGGACAGCCTCCAATATCTCAACATAAAGAGAATCTATTGGGGAAAAGATGGTCACTGGAGATGAAAAATAGATTTATTATGCGAATTCAAAAGGAAGAAGATAGTGTCTACATCCAGGAAAGCCGTCGACATCTCAACCTAAAGAGAATCTACTTGGGAAAAAGATGGTCACTGGTGATGAAAAATGAATTTATTATGAGAATCCAAAAGGATGGAAATCTTGTTTAGATCCAGGAGAACCTTCAACATCTCAACCTAAAGAGAATCTACTGAGGAAAAAGATGGTCACCTTGATGCAAAATGGATTTATTACGAGTATCCAACACTAAGAAAATCGCGTCTATCTCCAGGACAGCCTTCAACATCTCAGCCTTAAGAGAATCTACTGGTGAATAATATGGTCACTGGCGATGAAATATAGATTTATTAGGAGAATCCGAATGAAAGGAAATCGTGTCTAGATCCAGGAAAACCTTCAACATCTCAACCCAAATAGAATATACTAAGGAAAAAGATGGCCAGGGGCGATGAAAAAGGGATTTATTACAAGAATAAAAAGTGAAGAGAATTACGTCTAGATCCAGGACAGCCTTCAACATTTCAACCTAAAGAAAATCCTACTTGCGAAATTGTGTTTAAATACCAGTCCCACTTTAACTTCTTAACAAATACTTTTTGTTTGCTGAAATTAAAGAAATTTACTTAAGCCTCGATAAACTGCTCTTAAGCAAGTCTATATTGAGCGAAAGGTACTCTTACATTGAAATAAAAAAAAGAGGCGCTTATTTTCTTGGCAAAGAAGACAACTTCCGTACGTTGCATAAAAATGACTGTACTGGACCGGGAAACGTAACGTTGGAATCGATCTAGCATTGGAAATTCTTCTGAATGGAATATCCTTCCTATAGTGTCACTTGCTTTGTTCCATGAAGATGTTAGAAAACTTCCATGGAGAATCCTTCGAAGCTTCCGAATCAATACTGCTATGACGGAAGAGAAAATTAATCTGAAAGGTAGATTAGGGTCATAGAAAGCCTGGGAAGGTGTAATGATGGAGGTTAGCATCAGCCATGCTGTTAGAAGACAAACGTGTAGTAGGGTCATAGAAATATCGGGGAAATATCTTGATGACTAAATAAGGATGTTACCAATTTATGCTACAAACTTTTGCATCATTTCTCTGTAATCATTTCACCCCAATCAAGGCGATAACTCCACTAAGACGCGTGGAGCTACTGAGCGTGAATGAAAACGATAAAATATTAGTGAGTAGAAATGTCAATAAAATAACACGATTCAGAAAGAAGAGAGCAATCGAGCTTGCTTTTAAATTTTTGAGGATCGGAGCGAGAAAAGGCGATAAATAAAAGCGAAGGAAGAAACTATTAGAATAGAACTTACGATTGCATCTATCAATTAAACCTCGCCGTTTACATGCATGAGGTCGAGGTACCAAAGCGGAGAGCTCATTAGAACAATTGGCATGAAAATATTTATAGAAAAATCCAGGTAAACTACTTTACGGCGATGGGAAAATTCTTGAAGCCGATATGCCAGGTCAGGACCGGTAACCTTTTTTTGAATTGTTGTCAAGAATCTGAAGATATATAGCAGCAGCACCAGATTATATATGACAGCAATATTCGATGCACGGATGAATGGTAGATTTATAAACGTGCAAGATGGATGCTAAGGAGAAAAATTACCTTCGTACGACACAGTAAATCATCATTCCTAGCAGAAGACCTAGCAATTGATTCAATATAATTGTTCCATATCAGTGAAAAACGTTAGGCTGAGAAAGCGTAATGATTTGTCTCACCTGTGGGTTAGCATCAGCCATTCTGATTAAAGGCAAAAACTGCTGTATGGTCATATAATAATAATAATAATAATAATAATAAGGACCTTGAAATAGAAATCTCGAAAATGTGGCATATGGGAACATCAATAATCCCTGTTGTAGTTGGAGCCCTAGGACTGGTTGAAAAAGGTTGCAGTAGACTAATTGAAGGGATTCCTGGAAGTCCATGCCTCAAGGAGATACAAAAAATTGTTCTGACAAGTACAGCCCACACCTTACGAAGGGCTTTATCTATGTAATTTAATTCTTTTTTTTTTTTTTTTTTTTTTCTGTCAGTGGAAAGTGTCATGACGCCATTTCTAACCTTAGGTCCCTGGGCGGGACCCGGAAAGAAATGTGTAAACGCCAGATATCAAAGAAAATAATAATAATAATAATAATAATAATAATAATAATAATGATGATGTTATGAATTTATATGAATAAAAAATTTTGTCAAAAATAAAATGCTAAAAACTTATAATTGACTCATGTTTAAATAAATTTTTCTTTCTTTTTCAGGGTTTTTAAAAAGACCAGTCCAAATGGGAAGGTTAGTTATTTTTTTTATTTTTTTACAATTTTCAACGGGCAAAAAAAAAAAAAGACTTAAAAGCAACTAGGCGTGGCTTCTTTGTTAAGGAGCAAAGTGTGGTTCGGGCTAGCAGGGAGTTCTCTCTTCACTGGGTGCCCAATAGAAGATTCAACATTAAATAATCCCAAAAATGTTGACATGTCATAAAATCAACCTAACTTAAATAATAATAATAATTAAGATACAATATCATCATCATCTCTTCACAGCTACTACTACTACTGATACTACTATAGTAGTCGCCACCTGGCTATTCCCGCCAAAAATTCCTTCCGGTGTTGGTGCTGCGATAATGCAACACAACTTAAACACATTACTGTTGCCTTAATTCTGCTCCCCTTACCAGTTTAATGTTAACATAAGGGGTCACCAGCCCTCGCAAATAAACACATTACTGTAGCCTTAATTCTGTTCCCCTAACCAGTGCAATGTTAACATAAGGGGTCACCAGCCCACGCAAATAAACACATTACTGTTGCCTTAATTCTGCTCCCATTACTAGTGCAATGTTAACATAAGGGGTCACCAGCCCGCGCAAATAAACACATTACTGTTGCCTTTATTCTACTCCCCTTACCAGTGCAATGTTAACATAAGGGGTCACCAGCCCGCGCAAATATCGAAATATCGGATCTGGTTAAGAAAAGGTTAATAACCAGTTCCTTATCGCAATGGTTTGCAATAGCTTGCCAGAGGAGCTTCTCTTCCAGACCATTTTTGCCAGTGTAGTGACTTTGAACCTCACAGTGTATCCTACTTGTGTGCCTTTGTGTATATAAACGTTTAGAGAAGAAATAAAAAGTGGGGTCTGCAACGCTTTAATGACTATATTAGCGATTAATCTGACATTAGCCTAACTAAATAACGATTGGAAAACTTAACCCAGTGTCTTTGAGATTTGGTAAGTAAATTCTGTCATGTCTCTATTTCTGAGATGTGGTATTGAAAATTATTTACACTATTTACATAGTTCGGACTGTTGTCCTCATTTTTATTGCCATATTCACGACGTTTTGGCCGTTTTACGCTCCGGCCTTCTTCAGGATATGTCGATATATCTGAGATGTGGTATTGTAATTATTTATACTATTTACATTGTTCGGACTGTTGTCCCAATATTTATTGTCATATTCACGATGTTTCTGCCGTTGTACGCTCCGACCATCTTCAGGATCTATCTATATTTCTGAGATTAGGTATTGTAACTATTGACACTATTTTCATTCTTCGGACTGTTGTCCTGATCTTTGTTGCTATATTCACGAAGTTTTGGCTGTTTTACGATCCAGCCTTCTACAGGATCGGTCTATATTTCTGAGAGGTGGTATTGTAATTATTTACACTATTCACATTGTTCGGACTGTTGTCTTCATCTTTATTGCCATATTCACGAGGTTTTTGTCGTTTTACGCCCCGGCCTTCTTCAGGATCTGTCTATACTTCAGTGATGTGGTATTGTAACTATTTACATTGTTCGGACTGTTGTCCTCATTTTATTGTCATATTCACGACGTTTCGACCTTTGTACGTTCCGTCTTTCTTCAAAGCTTTG